GTTGTAAGTCTATACAAAGCACCCTGGCTGTCAGAGAAGACAGCTAGGTGTCGCTGCTGTTCAGTGCCTTTTTTGATGGCATGGTATATTGCTACTGACTCGGCATCAGTTGTGCTTGTCCAGTTGGAAATTCGCACACTTTCTTGAAGAGCAATGTCGGGAATTAGTACACCAATCCCTGCTGCTCCATGAGGATCAGTAGAAGCATCACAGTAGATTGCAAGTGGGGGGTACCCTGAGGGGGATGGAGAATTTCATCTATATATTTCAAGTAATGGCCTTTTTAACTCTGTTATTGAAGTCATGGATTTTTGGCCCTGTTAATTTATCAATATGTACGTTAAACATGTGATCTATGCCATGGTGAAGTAAGCGTTGCTTCTGGATGTTGATAAAATCATTGTTCCACACACTGAAGCTGAGAATGGTCTGAGCAGTCTTGGCCTTCCATTCCAAGTTTGACTTTATGAGATTGGAGTATCGAGGCCGTCGGACATGCCTAACTCTACAATTAATCTCATTAGACAATGCAAGGGAAATATGAGGTTTGGACTGAATCTGCAGAAGTCTGATGCCGAGTATGGTGTTGACTTGGGTAATACGGCTGTGAATGACGGGAGATCAAGCTCTTTCCTCATGACAAGAACTTTAGCAGTTATTGGGCAACCCAAAATGACTCTCATGGCCTTGTTCTGTAAGATTTCAAGGGGTCTGAGAACATTTTGTGGCAACATACTAAGAACCGGGCTCGCATAGTCTATCATGGACCCAACAAGGGAAATGTACATCAATCTTAGGACTCTTTGGGAAGCACCAACGTATCTGTTACTTATGTATTGTAAAGGTCTTAAGCGCTCCAGGCAGCATTCTCTGATGTTTTGAACGATTTCCCGAGTGAAGCGGGAATTGCGGGACATGAGGTATAGGTGTCAGTTTTTGCAATAACTTGCCCACCTAATCTTGGAATATATGACAGTTTGTTTGATCTGGAAATATACTTAGTCTTGACAGGGTTGATTACGAGTCCAAGGGAAGTGCACTTTTTACTGAATCCCTGAAGAACATACTCCCCCCTATCAAATACCTGAATGAGAACGTCATCAGCATAGGATGTGATGCTGCATAGGTCTCCTAACTCACTATTTAGCTTGCAAAGAGAGTGCATAAGAATGTTAAATAGTGAAGGGGACAAAACTCCTCCTTGTGGAGTTCCTAACTCGAGTTCACCATAATTACTGTAGGTGCCTTGGTAACATACTCTTGCTCTTCTCAAAGACAGATAATCCTTTATCCATAGCAGAAGCTTGCCCTTAACTCCTAGGAGAGTTAATTCATGGAGAATTGCAGTAGGGGAAGCTCTGTCAAATGCACCCTTGAAATCTATGAAGTAAGAAGCCTGTGCATTACTTCCACTGAGGTACTGTGCCAGGCACATTTGTGTTCCTTTCCCCTTTTGGAATCCAAAGACTGATGGGTGAATTTGATCTTTGATCTGGTGGAGCAGACGATTGAGGAGGATCCTTTCACAGGTTTTAGAGAGACAGGATGTCAGAGAAATCGGTCTAAATTCATCAGGACACCCTGGTTTTGGGATAGGAATAATGGTGGCTTGTTTCCAGGAAGTAGGCAAGATGCCTGTAGAATAAGTTAAGTTGAAAAGATCAAGGAGAGGATTTCTTCCCTGTACCTGTACCTTTGCAAGGAGGCGAATGATGTCGTAAGTGATTCCATCATCCCCAGGTGCAGTGGATTTGCTAGTTTTAATGGCTGCAAGAAGTTCATGTCTTGTAAATGGTGCATCAGCCTCATCTAAAAGGCACTGATAGTTAATTTCATTTTTGTGTCTTGACTTAAGGGAGCATCTACGAATGGATAATGGAAGATTATCGAGAGAAGAGTTTTCGCAGCATTTAGTGAGGATTGACAAAGCTACCCTTTCTGGATGAGGGTGGGGAGTGACATTGTATGCATTGCCTTTAATCTTATTGATTTCCCTCCACACATTACTCATGGAGCTCGTGGAGTCAATCGATTCTGCCCAGGCATACAATCTCTCTTCCCGCTTTTGTGTCATTATCTCATTAAGTTTTTTACTAAAGAAAACAAGGTCCCTAGCTAAGTAGGGATTTTTCCCCAGGTTTTTTAGCTGATTTACTGTAGACCTTATTAACTTTCTAAGTAGCTTTATTTCCGGATCTTTGTTAAGGTGATATGCTCGTTTGCCTCTGGAGGATGAAGACCTATGTTTGACAGGGTTTCTGGGTTGGAGTTGGGTGATGAGGTTACCAACTTGTTGACAGAGAGTTTCATTAAAGTGATCAAGGCTGGCAGGAATATAGTGTTCATACCAGCAGCTAATCCTTTTAATAAACTCATCATGATGTTTAGTAGCAAGATGGTATCGAAGACGTGGCTGGGGCGGGCTTCTTTTAGCGAATGGGAGGGTGATACTTAATGCCCAATGATCACTGACTAAGAAAGGGACAACTTCCGCAGTGCATGGGATTGGGTGCTGATTGTATAAGACTATATAATCTAATTTGCCACCTAGATAATGAGTCTTTTCAAAGGGGCACAATAGGTGTATGGGATCACTGGTGTTTTGAAGATAGTCATAATATACCTTACCGTTTTTACCAATGGTGCTTCCCTCAGAGCCAAGGAGAGGATGACGAGCATTAAAATCTCCACACAGTAAGACAGTAGCATTATGTACCATACTGTCGGGAGGTTTAGGTACCACTTCACTATCATGTGGGTTATATACATTAATGATGGTGATGGTTCTACCATCAAGAAATATTTTAACACCAAGATATTCAGCACTTGCATTGTCGCGTTTGTCATCGATCACTTTTGATGGGATACTATTTTTTATGTAAATACCAAGTCCTCTTGTAGAGGGATTAGCAATATTAGGTTTGTCGTGATATGTGTATCCTGCAATTTTTGCATAACGAGCATCAGTTCTAACTTCCTGAAGGCAACACACATCAACATCTTCCGAGTGAAGATACTGAGCGAGGGTCGCCTTGCGTTTCTGTAAACTGTTAATGTTCCAGGTAATGCACTTTAACAGATTATTTTGATCCATCGATCATCACTTGACCGTTTCCAAGGCCCACTGGATGTTGTCGTTGCTCAAGGAAGATCGCAAAAATCCTCTCCTGGAACTGCACCATCTGTTGCTGCATCATGAACATCATCTGCTCCATCTGCTTGAACAACATTTGGATCAAATCTTTCATTTCCCTGTTGGATTCTTGCTTTTCCTGCTGCGGGGAGGGAGGAGCTGGAGCTGGTGATAGCGTCGGTGCTGCAGTTGGCACTGGAGCAGGAGCTGCAGCTGGCGCTACAGCTGGTGCTGGAGTGGGTGCTGCAACTGTCGGTGCTGCAGCTGTCGTTGGTGCTGCAGCTGGAGTAGGTGCTGCAGCTGGCGCAGGTGCTACCACTGGTGATGTGGCCGGTGCCATGGCTTTGTTTGCAGGGGCCGTCAGAGTTGACCTCTGCAGGTGTGGGAATTCCCGCACGTCATTAAGACGAGGGGCTGGGCGGGGTTTATTGGGGGGAGGGGCTGCCTGCTTCCTTTCATGTGTTGCCCTTCTGTCCTTCGGGTAATAGGCGCATAATGGCGAGTTGGCATTATGCTCCTGACGACAGTTCACACATTTCCGAGGGATGATTTTACCTTCAGAAATTTTCTCTGCGCACTCTGAGCTTTCATGCGAAAGAGCGCAGTATCGGCACCGCGGTGCCTCTCGTAGACACGCACGTGCCCCGTGTCCCCACTTTGAGCAATGGGAGCAAAACGGGGTCAGAGATTTGAAGATGGCACACCTAAAGGGTGCCATGCCCTCCACCATTTTGATAGTTTTGGGGATTACCTCCCCCTCATATGTTATGATGACTCTCTGGGTCATCAATCCATTGATCTTCATGCGTTTGGCATGTACGACGCGTTCATTGTAAGACGTCATTTCATCTGTTTCGATTTCTCTTGGGACGTCGAACACAATAACATTTGTGCACTTGCCTTTTCCATACACTTTCGCCTTTTCTAAAATTTCACCACCTGCACCGGCAGTGGTTATGTGGGCAAGAATTTGTTCATTTTTACATCTCACAAACACATTGTTTCTCCCAATCTTAAGTTCAATGGACCCCTTTGTCTTGTTGTATGGGTCCAATTTTAAAGCCTGGGATACCCAGCGATACTTATCCCCGTGTGTCCGAAGCTTTGTGTCGGCTTTAAAATGTGCGCACAGGTGTTCAGGGGGCGTAATTTCTACAGGGTCAGGTAGTAGTCTTTTTGCTTTTTTCTTTATTGGTTCCCGGGGGAGGCCACTGATATCTTCCTCACGGAGGACACCATATCTACCCTCGGTTTCCATGGGCGTGTCAGTCATTGTTCCGTTTGAGGTCGGGGTCATTTCCTGAAGAAACAGGGCCCGACCTGACCTCCCTGTGCAAACCCAGGTGCACACACCGGTCGCTTACGCCGCGCCCACACAGCACATCTGTGTCCGTACGTAGTTTTTTCACTTATTTTACTTCACGATATGATATTTAGATCACTTTAGATTCAGAACAAATAATCATGTGAACATTATCGCGCACTGCAGCAATGCACAGCTGGCAGGTCTATGAAGACCTTAATAGTCAAGGTAACACGAATCCCGTAAGGACAGGTCAAGGTCACAAGAGGTCACTCAACACGTCTGCATACTATGGTGACAGGATGATGACTGAGAGAGAGAGAGAGAGAGAGAGAGAGAGAGAGAGAGAGAGAGAGAGAGAGAGAGAGAGAGAGAGAGAGAGAGAGAGAGAGAGAGAGAGAAAGAGAAAGAGAAAGAGAAAGAGATAGAGAGAGAGAGAGAGAGAGAAAGAAAGAAAAAGAGAAAGAGAGAGAGAGAGAGGAAGGAGACAAATGGAACGAACAGTCGACGTTACTCTCTCGTTATTAAGGGTTTTAAGTAATGAATACGATAACTTTTCAGGATCATCCTTTATTCTCATTGTGCGGTATGCGGCTAATGCCTACAACAAATGGACAGAATAAATAGGTAACAACATAGATAAAAAGCGATAATGCCTATCAAAAGCCATCTTCTCTCTGACATCATACCCAATAGCACATCATATGCATTAGGTAGCCTTAACATTACTTCTAAATTAAAGCCTCTCAGAAAAAAGGTGTTGATATCTGTGTTAAAATTGAGTGATAAAAATACAAAAGTATCCTGTTAATGTAAAAATAATAATAATAATAATAATAATAGTAATAGTAACACATCAAAAAATAATATAATAATAATAATAGTAATAGTAACACCCTTTCACAATCCTGACTCCCGCGCATCAACACTGTCCGTGGATGAACTGCACGATGAGCTTAGCCACGGCAGGCCCCTGATCCTCCTGCAGGAAGTGTCCTGCGTCGTTGACCGTGGCCGTGCATGCTCTGGGCAGGAGGCGGCGGAAGAGGTCCCGGCCGGGGAGGGTGAAGACCTCCCTGTCGCTGTAGGCCACGAGGGCAGGCCCGCCCCACCCCTCGAGGAAGGCGGCGACCCTCCGGTTCTCGACGCCCATGGGGTCGGAGGAGGACGTCGGGATGAGGAGCGGCCAGCGGGAGGGACCCGCCTTGTACAGCGACGAAGGGTACGGCGCCACGTAGCCCTGCAGCTCGGCGGCGGAGGACTGCGTGGCCACGGAGAAGACGGTCTCTATGGGCACGTTGCGGCCGAGGACCTGGGTGAGGCCGCGGAAGGACAGGTACGGCAGGTGCTCCTTGATGCTCGAGAGGGACGAGAACATGTCGCCCTGAGGAAGCCACGTGTTGAGCAGGACCACGCGGCGGTAGCGGCCCGAGTCCCGCGACAGGGCGCTCAGCCCCGTCGGGCCCCCGAGGTCGTGGCCCACGAGCGTCACGCCCTGGAAGCAGCGGGAGCGGAGTGAGCGAAGGGCAGCGATGCAGACGTTTAGACTTTAGTGTGTACATGTGTGCAGGTGTATCTAATCTGTATGCGTGAATTTGTGTGTGTGTGTATGCGTGCTTGTTTGTTTATGTATGTGTGTGTTTGTATGTTTATGTGTGTTTGGTTATGTGTGTGTTTGTATGTGTGTGCTTGTTTGTTTATGTGTGTGTGTGAACTTGTATTATAAGTGTTTTTCTTATCAATCTTTCTAATGACATCACGTGAACGAAATGGAAAAATGAAAGAGAGAATACGAACATCGTTTACAAAACATCACACGCCACTGAAATTGGCTACGAATTGCAAAGGAACAGAAATAGATAATTACCTCTTCCTGAAGTGGGTACGTTTTCTTTACCTCTTATTCTCTCTTTCCTATTTCCCTTTCTCTCTCTCTATTTGTCTCTGTCTTTGTTTATTAGTTTCTCCCGCCCCCTCACTGTCTATGTCTGTCTCACCTCCATTTTCCCTCATCATTTCGCTATTTGTGTCTGTCAATCTGTCTTTCTATTTTTTTTCTACGTCTGTATGTCTGTCTGTTTGTCTTTTTGTCTTTATGTGTTTATCTGTTTGTCTTTTTGTGTCTATGTGTTTATCTGCTTGTCTGGCTGTCCGTTTGTCTTCATTTTCTCTCTCTCTCTCTCTCTCTCTCTCTCTCTCTCTCTCTCTCTCTCTCTCTCTCTCTCTCTCTCTCTCTCTCTCTCTATATATATATATATATATATATATATATATATATATATAACGCTCCTCTCTCTCTCCTCTCTCTCTCTCTCTCTCTCTCTCTCTCTCTCTCTCTCTTCTCTCTCTCTCTCTCTCTCTCTCTCTCTCTCTCTCTCTCTCTCTCTCTCTCTCTCTCTCTCTCTCTCTTCTCTCTCTCTCTCTCTCTCTCTCTCTCTCTCTCTCTCTCTCTCTTCTCTCTCTCTCTCTCTCTCTCTCTCTCTCTCTCTCTCTCTCTCTCTCTCTCTCTCTCTCTCATATCATTATCATAATGTTGTAAAAATGTAGATTAGTAATTTCCTTTTTTTGTCCTACTGCCCTTTTAGAAATTAGTCTGTTGTTTCGACTTCCCACACCTACACCCACTGAGGTAGCGAGAATCGATGTGTGTGTGTGTGTGTGTGTGTGTGTGTGTGTGTGTGTGTGTGTGTGTGTGTGTGTGTGTGTGTGTGTGTGTGTGTGTTTATTATTCCTTTCTTTCATTCTTTCTAACTTTGCATTCACACTCTTTTATTCAAATTTTCCATTTACTCCATTTATCCATAATGTACCAGTTTTTCTATCTATATATAATCTTTAATTAATTTCTTTTATTTATACTCTTCATTCAAAAACTACATAGTGTCTCGTATTCATTTTTTTATGTATAATTTACCAGCTTATCTTTTTACGTACTGTTTATTCAGGGCCTTGTATTTTTTTTCTTCTTCTTTTTCTTTTTTTTCCTTCATTCAAGATTTACTCATTTTTTCCCGCTCATTTTTATATATTAATTTCTGTTTATCTAATCCCTGTATTCATAATTTATACATTTTTTTCGTTATACATATTCTTTCATTCGTGTTCATTATTCACAATTTATCAGTCTCTGTCGTTTTTTTTTTCTTAATTTACACAAATTTTTCGTTCATTTCTTTTATACTTTCATAACTTACCAAACTTTCTCTTTCTTTCTTCGCTCAATCATTTCCTTTATCCTTTGGTTCCATTCATATCTTTTTGGCTTCTCTCCAACATTCATTAACTTCTCTATGCACATTCCTCCATTCATTCATCTCTTTTAGTACTTCCCAGCCCCCCACTTTACACACATCCTTTCATTCATCCTCAAGAATCATTCATTAAAAATTCCCCACTCACAATTTACCTTCAAGTCGAGATCGCGTACGGTGTTGACCACTGTTGCCACATGCAGTTCATGGGTATAAGCTGCCGGATCAGTGAGCTTGTCCGAACGTCCGAACCCGATGTGGTCTATGGCTACGACTCGGTATCCGGCAGCGAGGAGGGTGGGGATCGTCTTCCGGTAGAGGTAAGACCAAGCCGGTGTTCCGTGGAGGAGGAGAAGAGTTTCGGACGCGTCGCGAGGGCCTGGGGAAAGAAAATTGGCGGGAAATTTGATTTAAAAAAAATGTTTCTCTGTTCTGTTGTTGTTTTTTCTAAATCTATTTAGTTGTCTATGGTTCAGATTCTTCTACTATTATCTATTTCATTTACTACTGATATTCATCTTGCTTACTATTTTCATTAATTTTACTCACATTATTTTCCGTTTTCAATTACGTTATTGCCAGTTTTTTTTATTTATCATAATTATCTGCCTTCATTAACATCATAATTTACCAATTAATCTATCTATCTTTTGTTATCTGTGGAATCATGAATGAAAATCAGTATCTAAGAGTAACGATCATCTCTGAAATCAGCTGTTCGGAGATATCAAATGATTTTTCAATCAGATCTTCCAGTTATGGCAATTATGGCAATTAGTGGTCAATTATGAAGGATGATGATATTCCAGTGAGCATTAACCTCTAAATACAGATATAGTTTGAGATCAAGGGAGAGTAGTTAGCATGTGTGGCACGTGTATGTTTAGGAGTAATTGCGCAAACATGTACGTATTGATGAAAGCAATAAAGTAGGCACTGGTAATCAATACAATAGGCCTATATTTGAGTCCTTGTACATAAGAAAGTAAAAGAAAAAGAAATGTGTGCTTAGCTATATATGTATATAAAGATTTATATATATATATATATATATATATATTATATATATAATATTATATATACATATATATATTATATATATATATATATATATATATAAATATTATATATATATATATACATATATAAATATGTATATATATATACAATATATATAATATATTAATAATATATATACATACGATATATTAAGTTATGTATATATATACACATATATGATATATAAATATATTATTATATATATATTGTATATATAGTATATACTATATATTATACCATACATACATATCATACATACTATACATACATACATCAAATTACATACATACATAATACATATATATTATATATTATATTATATTATATTATATTTATAATATATTAGTATATATATATATAATATTATTATATAATAATTATTATATATATATATATATATGTTATATATCTGAATATATTTTTTTTTTTGTGTGTGTGCTGTGTGTGTGTGCATGTCTGTTGTAGAGAGAGAGTAGAGGAGAGAGAGAGAGCCAGGAAGAGAGAGAGAGAGAGAGGGAGAGGAGAGAGAGAGAGAGAGAGAGAAGAGAGAGAGACGAGAGAGAGAGAGGAAGAATACATACATACATATATAATTATACTATATAATATATATATTTAATATTATATATATACATATATATTATATGTAATATTATATTATTAGTTACATATATATATAGTATATATATATATAGTATATATATATATATATAATATATAATATTATTATATTTATTATATATAGGCACACCACAAACACACACACACACCGACAAGATGATATTTAATATATATATATATATTATATATATAATATATTATATATATGCATTATTTATATACTATTTACATACAACACACACACACAAACACACACACACACACACCACACACACCACCAAGCAAATATATATATATATTATATTATATTAATATATATATATATTATATATATATATACATACATCACAGCAAGAGTAGATTCACAGTTGTGTAATCAGCACCCACACCATATACATATGTTATATATATATATATATTATTATTATTATATATCTAATATTATATAGGTGTATATATATATAGCATATATGTGTATATATATTTATATATATATATATATTATATAAATATATTCCATACCATAACTAACACCACACACTACACACATACACACACCACACACACACACACACCCGTTATTTTATTTTATCAGACACCACACATACCAGACACACCACACCACCCCACATACACAAACATACTTTGGTAAGACATACACATTACACATACACATATCACATACACATACACATAACATAAACTAAAACACCAACACACAACACACACACACACTGTGGTAGTATATGTTCCACAATAACACCACCACACATACACACCACACACACACAATGCACACACACACACACAACACAATATAATTATATTAATATATATATATATTATATAATATATATTATATATGTGTGTGTGTGTGGTGTGTGTGTGGTTGTGTGTGTGTGTGTGTGTGTGTGTGTTGTGTATGTGTGTGTGTGTTGTGTGTGTGTGTGTGTGTGTGTGTGTGTGTGTGTGTGTGTGTGTGTGTTGTGTGTGTGTGTGTGTTGTGTGTGTTGCGCCCGTGTGTGTAAAAAAAAAAAAAAAAAAAAAAAATATATATATATATATATATATATTTTATGATGTATGTTGTGTATAGTTATATATGTCAATATTATATATATATGTTATGATTATTTAAATCACACACACACACACACACATTTATACATAACAGCACACACGCACACACCACACACACACAACACACACACACACATATTAGATTACACCACACACACAACACCACACACCCACACACCACACACACTATATAAATATATATAGTATTATATAATATATTACATATATTATATATATATTATTGTATAATATATGTAATATGTGTGTATATCTATTATTTTATATATATAATATATGTATACTATTAATATATATATATATTATATAATATATATATATTATGTATCTATTATATATATATATTATGTGTGTGTTGTGTGTGTGTTGTGTGTGTGGTGGGTGGTGTGTGTGTGTGTGTGTGTATGTATATATTGTATATATTATAGGGTATTATATAATAAATATAATATATATATATACATACATATATATATATATAATATCTATATATTATATATAGAATATATTTATATATATATAATATAGTAAACACACAGCACGAACACATACACAACACACACACACTAACTAGACACACCACATCACACACCATTCCACACAACATCCACTCAAATAATCAACAGGTTCAATCACCCAACATCCAACACACCCGACACACATACACATACGTAACTGAATCACCCACCAACAATAGATCACCAAACACACACACACACACACACAAATCGCAATACACCACACACACACATACACAAACAAAACATTGTATTAGAAATTGACACACACACCATACAAGACAACACACACACACAGTTTCACACACACACACATAATAATAATATATATAACTGTCATCACACAACACACCACACACACACACACACACACAACATTGTAGCACACCACACTCATGTTGATTTAGCTAATACAAACACACACACAACACACACAACACACACACACACACAACACAACACACCACATTGTCCACAATTATATGTATTCACACACACACACAATATATATATAATATATATTATATATATATATTGTATATAATTATTTTTATATATACACTATTATTGTATATAGTTATATATTAATATAATATTATATATTATAATATATATTATAATATATTGTATATATCTATATACTATGTATTATGTGTATACTATATATTTAGTATATATATATATATATATTTATATATCTCTTGTATAATTTAATATATATATATTATATATAATATATATATCAGCTAGTGTATGTATAGTGTATATTACATAGTATTATATATATATTAGTATATATATCTATATATATATTATATATATATGATATACCTATGTGTATATATATATATATATTATTATATATATGTATTATATAACAATATATAGTATCATACATATATATATATTATATATATATTATATATTACTATATATATATATGTATATATAGTATATTTATATATAATATGTTATATGTATTGTATATTATTTATATATTATAATATATTAATATGTATATATACCTATGTA